GCTGATCATTACTCAGTTTTAACTGAGTCCTTCCTGTTTGTTTAGGCTTCTCCTCTCTAGCTGCCAGATCTTCCCAGACACCTCCAACTTCTCAATTTGTGGAGTGCACTGGGATCTGCCTAGGTCCTCCTTCTCATTCTGAAGCCTAGACAGTTTCTCAGGAAGTAGGACGTCAAGCTGAGGCAATTGTAGGGATCTCATTGTTGTGTCCCATCACTCAGAGAACACTTTCCTTAATGACCTGCTGTCCGATGTCTTGAAACTCTTACTTCATATACAGTATTATGCCTATTTTTTATTGTTCCATGTATGTGTGTAAATCCAATAACTGTTATGCCAAGTCTAGATGATACTTTAAAAAATCAATTGTTTTATTAAAATTGATTATGAGTACAACTAAATATATTGCATTCCAGGTTTTTAGGATGTCTATAGTCATCTCAAAGGACATTGCAAGAGTCAAAAGAGAAAGTGTTTATTTATTTCCTAAAGTTTAATCTCTTCTCTGGGTAGGGGAGTTTTTTTGTTTTTGTTTTTATTTAATTAATTTATTTTTGTTACAGATGTTTCTCCTCTTGACTAACAATTAGAGAAGTAGTGCACATTCTGGATTTAAAGAGATTTCATGTACATTCTCTTCATTGACTACCTATGATCAAGGCCTGATTATTAAGGGCAAGGTTGTTATTAAATTGAGGCTTAGGAGTGTCACGACTTGCTTGAAGTTGCACAGCTTATAACCAACACTTTGCCTTTTATGACACACTTTATGTGTGGTCAGTGGGGTGCTCAACACTCTACACGCAGCCTCATTTAATCATCCCTGAAAGTGTAATAGGAAAGTGCTACAATCTTTCTTATGGTAGATATGAAGAAACTAGAGTTTAGGAGACATACTACCTAACCCAGCTTACATAGCTATTAAATGCCAGAGCTGGGACTTGAACCCAAGCTGCCTACCTCCTAGATCATGCTTGTAACTGTTAATCCACAGTGGGATACTCTTCTGTGTCCCTTGTTATCTTTTCACTTTTTCGCCCATGATATGAATTGGTTCAACAATGGCAGATGATCTCATTTTACAATGGACAAAATATTGCACACTCTTGGAAATATTTTTCCTGTGCTATTGCTCATGAAAGGCAAGGACTTTTGGTGGTGATGTTTGTTAGGTGGTATTTATGCTACTTTTGATGGTACATTCATATTCTACTGGGTTCATGTTGTCATCAATTTTTTATATGTTTTTATTGATAATTTATAGACAGGGGAAGAGAGAGAGAGTAACATCAACGTGCGAGAGAAACATTGATTGGCTGCCTTCTTGCAAGCCCCCTACTAGGGATTGAGCCTGCAACCTGGTCATGTGCCCTGATTGGGAATCAAACCGGGACCTCTCAGTCCATGGGATGATGCTCAGTTCACCGAGCCACACCAGCTGGGTTTTCATCAATTATTTTATATGGATATTCATTTATGAGTTTCTCCTATGTAAAATTGAAACTCCTATCAACCTCCAACACCTACCATTTTATATTCCTCTCCCCTTATTTTTCTTTTTCACACTTGTTACTAATATATTAATATAAATGTGTGGATAAAGGTAGCTCTACAGTTGTTCATGTAGAAAATACATAATAATACAAAAATAAACTTTTTCATGTACTCACAACTGTAAACCTACTTTTTCTCTGCCCTTGTATTTTACTTTCCTTGTTTGTTGTCTGTCTCCTTCTCTAAAATATAGGTTCCATAAGAACACACAGTTTTGTCTGTTTTGTTCACTACTGTATCTCATGGACTGATTGAATAAGAACTCAATAAATATCAGCTAAATTAATCAACATTTGTGTTTAGACAGTGTTCTTAGGATTTATGTGACTTGGATGATTATTATGGAATGAAGTAGAGAGCATTATCTGAGACTAAGCTTTCAGGAATATAAGGTCTACCTATGCACATTCTCACTGCTAATGGATGTTTATTATATACGAAAGGAGGCTAAACCCTGTTAAGAGGAAGATAAGATCACTAGATAAAGCAGACACCTCAGAAGTGTGAAGGAAGAACACATTTTCAAGTTAGCTTCTCCTCTCTCACCTGATAATACCGTTGACTGTTAGGACCGACATATTATGAAGGAATAAACCTAAATGAGGAGGAAGTATTTTGGTAATTAGCAGCATAGCCAATGGTCTCAGAATGCTCAACTATTCTCAACTATTCAACTTAATAGCTCTGAAAATATTAGAAGTCACTATTATTTTATGTCAACATTTTTTTATCCCGAGACTTCAAGGAATTCTTCAACCCTCTAAAACTGGGTTCAAATATATTGTTTTAAGAGACTGGATGATTCTTTCTTGGGAGGTCTACAGTCTTCATCAAATTTTCAATGTCTGTCAGTACTTACAATACTCTGGACATCAAAGAACAAGTGATACTGTTATAAATAAATCTGTAAGATGCATTCTTTTGAATTGGCTTAAACTCCCAAAAGGCTGGCCAGAATCTTAATATTTTGCAAGATCCTTAATATTTCTATGTTTTCTACTCATCCTCGAACCTATATAAACCGGAGCTGCAAAACATAACTTCATTATGATCACAATCACCTTTACACAGTTGAGATTACATGATTTGCCTACATGACAAAAACAAAGAAACCTCATACATAAATTTATTTTTAAAAATCAGATTTTATTGTCAATAATACCTATGTAGCTCCCTCATAGCCCTCATAGAAATGTTTTGTTTTTGTTTTTGTTTTTTTTTTTAATTTTAAAGTAAAAGCAGCATGCCTTACTAATTTTTGTGGCCTCAGCGTCTGGAAAGGGTAAAGCATGTACTACATACTCAAAATGTGTTTTTTCTGTAATGACTGAACTGGATATTATTCTCAGGTCTTCTGATTGAAAACACGGTCTCATTTAATTAAGTCACACATCTTTTGATGAAATTAGTCCAAAGGGGAAGTTTCATTCCTTTGTTAATATACTGTTTTAGCATTTTCTCTTATTATCTTCCTCAGCTAGAGTACTAGATATTAAGCAAACAGTTTTGTTCATACCATGGAATGGAAACATGAATCACGAGTCTAATAAAAAGCAAAATATAAGGTTGTTTTCTATTGAAACCATATGGAAACTAAAGTCAATGATATGTTTTAAAACAAATGAAAATCAGTCATTTATGAATACTTTATTTCTTAATCTCAAGCAACCAATCACAGTAAACCTCCTGTATCATTTCTAGGGATCCAATCACACTTATGGCCACTAGCTGCATTCACCCCATCCCTCTGGTATTCACGTCAAATATCAAATTTTCAAATTTTATATTCTCAAATCTTCCTTTTTGATACATGTATACCTCTGTTGCACTTCCTGATCACATTCTCTTGTTTTAATGTATTATTTTACCAAATTACTCCCTAACACATTTTTCCATCAGATGAAGAGCATCCTTCCAATATGAGAGCTATGTATTGAAAGTAATGGGGTCTCTGGCCAGAGAATCAAATTTAATAGGCAAGGAGAAAAGAGATGAATACAAATCTTAGGAAAGAAGGAAAAAATGTGGGTCATGAGATTAAAGATAATATAATATTGCTATGTCAATATTTTCCTTATGTAATCCCAGTTCAGTATCCAAGGAATATTGATTAATGAATGTGCAAATACTCTCATAATTATATCTAAGGTTAAGAGCAAACTGCTTTTAAGCTTAGCATTTCCTTCCTTCCTTTCTCTCTTTCTCTTTTCTTCTTCCATTTTTTTTAAAATGTTCCCAGAGATTATTTAAAGATGTATCATGTGCCTGATGTAGGAATACATTCCCGAGTATGGTACTAAGTCTTGTGGAGCAAGTTGCAATAATCTATAAGTATATAAGCAAATACAGGAAGAATAAAATTCCATTAACTAATTATGTTTTCAGACATCTGAGTATAAGGAAGGTTTATAGACAAAAAAAGTATATTACTAGGCGATTCTAGTGCCTCTGAAGTAATTCAGATTATGCAAGATCCATTCAATTCTACATTATAGAAATTCAAAGTAATTTTTATCTTCAATTTTAAATATTTTCTTATAGAAATAAGATATATTTATATTTTGTTAGTGAAAACAAACTTTACTTTCTAAAGTTTATATATATATATGCCAACTTTATGATATATAGATAAATATATCTAAACTCTAATAATTTCATTGCACAAATAACTTTGGCAAAACAACAGTGTTTTAAATATTTTATGTCAAATTCTAAAAAAACAACAACAACAGTGTTATTAACTTATTTTACTTAAAAATGATAATATATGTAGTTTGAAGAAAAACCAGTAGGTTAGCACTTAATTGATAGTATAAAAGCACATTTATGTGTCTGTATTTTAAATTTATGAATATAGCAAAATGTTAAAATTATTCATATGCCTCCTAACATCATATATATGAGGCATTAATCCTTAATTTTTAATTACCTGAAGGCCATTTAATAAGTGAATTTTTATTATTTAAACTGATTCATCAAACAATGTCTATGATTATAAGAATAGCCATGCTACATATAGAATTTTCCAGGTTATTCTTAAAGTTGTTTGAGAATCATCTCAGGCACCCACTGGCAAATTCAAATAATATAAGCACTTCCAAGTTTCAGTTCAAAAGCACAAACTGATTTTATAGGGTACTGCTTTATTGAAGAGGAAAAAAAAAACTTTTTTTATTTCAAGCACTAAAAGACCTAAAATCTTTATACTATGAATTAAATAATTATTTTTGAAAAGTTTTAAAAAATACCTAAAATATCCCATTTAACAGTAAATATTGCATGCAGAAGACTCTAGCAATGCTTCTAAATACGTATTAAAATGACCAGCTGATCAGTAATTTGCATTACTTCACAAAAAAAAAGATTCGACAATAAATCACTAGGTCTATATGTGCATGCAACAGCATAGTATGTGCAGAGTCAAAAATAAAGTAAAAGGCAATTACCCTAAAAGACATTTCAAGATTCTCTCCACCCCAGATATCCATTCCTGCATCGTAAGTTCCTATCTCTTCAAAGTAGTTTCTGTCAATAGAAAATAGGCCACCAGCCATAGTAGGGGTCCTAGTTGAAAAAAAAACAAACAAAAAGAAAAGAATATCTTTTGAAAACAATATGTGGAGTTTAATGAGACTGTAGCAAATATTTTTGAGACATTTTACATTAAAAATAATAGTACTCAAAAATTTCAAACTGAAAACATAAAGCCAAGATTTAAGAGGTTTTAAAGTTAATAAATAGCATTTTATCATATTTCTGTAAAACTAAGTTTAGATTAGCCTCTTTTTCTTATAGATGATTATATAGACGCATGGAAAGAAGACTGGGCACTTAAGAAGGGGACTTTTGTATTCCTTCTTAAAGCCAAAGTAAGAAAAAGCTAGTGCGCTTTGGAGTACCCTTTAAGAGATTATTGGTCATGAAACTACCAGTAGTGATCTTTTGTCATCTAATTATAAATAATTTCAATGTGAACTCTAGAAACCTTAGAAATTGTTTTTTCTATGAAAAGATCTGTAGCCTATTTAAATCTGAAAAACATTAAATATTATAAAATGTTTATAGACAGTATCTAATGAGAATTACAAGAGTATTTTTAAACATCAGCTCTTTAATCACTTATTCTTCTCTTTACCTAATTGAAATGATACAATCAATCATGTAACACTGGAGGAAAAGAACCCCATGTACTATTCAGAGGTTTAAAGTAAATTTGGCACAGATTCTAAAACTTTTTCCTAGGAACCAATGCCTTTGGTTCTCATATTCAAAATTTCTCTATAAGAAATAAGAAGTCGAATGTTTAATTTTAAATGGTTAATTAATCAATTTTAAAAGATTATTAAGGCAATGTTGATGTGTAAACTATACAAGTCTTTCTCTATAAGCAGCATAAATTTAACTAAAAAAAGAAAATTGTGGTTGTTCACAACTGGATCCGTGTATACTGGCAATGCTTATTCTTGAACATTAATTATAGCGTAGTGGTTTTCAACCTTCTTAGCACATTAGCAGCACCAGAGGCACTTTTTAAAAATGCATTTCCATGCTTGGGTACCACTCGCCACAGATTCACATTTAATTAATGGAGGTGGGGGCAGAGCTTTGATATTGTGTTGAGTTCCCAGGTGATTGCAATGTGCTGTTCAAGATGAGAAGCACTGATCTAGTTAGTAACTTAGATTTGAAATGCTCATCCACGCAGTCTGATTGGTAAGAAAAACAAACGTTTTGTTTTTCTTGAAATTATATCCTCTTCTGTCATAGGACATGCTCATGTTCTCTAATTGAATGGTACAATCAGTGAAAAACCACCAGTTAATATTGTACTTGAATAGCGACCATATTGCAAAGTTCCCAATTTCTCCCAGCGCTCTCACTGTTTTGTACTCAGGTAATTAATTGTCTATCAGTTGGAGGAGCACAGGCTCACCTTAGTATCAGAGCTGTTTTATTGCTTCCAGTCTTGCTGGGTTCCTATCAGGAACAATATCATTGACCTTCTGAATTATAATGAGAAACACTAACAAAGCGAAACAGATGGTAATTATGGTAGCCACAACCCTCACCTGATTGGGGTTTTGGAACTCTATAGCAATGACTGTAAAAGGTATTAGAGTGCTGGATAGCCTATTTAATGAAACGAGGAACAAAAACTGCTGCAATTATCCTGTCATAATGCAACCAAGAGCTTAGGAATGTTAAGTGATGCATTTTTAACGATCCATTCAGAGTGCCTATCCACTTGTCTATTTACTAATAAAGTACTAATATATTAAAGTTAAATAGATGTATTGATTTTTAGCTTACACTTTGGTCGTAATTCCTATAAATATTTGAGAAATTTACAATAAATGGCTACAGAAATTATATATTTAACCATAAGAATGACTCAAATCAATTTTACTTATGCTTGAAAATAAAGTTACAATTCAGAAAGCAATCCTGTATTTTGGATGAATTATTCCCTTAAAAATAATTTTTTGTCTTTGTAATGTCAGCTCTCTCAAACAGTCTAGGGACCATTCCTTACATGATATCAACAGCCAAAGCAACATGTTCTGCTCCAAGTCAACTGTTCTGTAATATCCCTAATGAACAATTTATATATGCCTGTGTAAACCTTAAGTGTTCAGGATGTCTAGAAAATTAAAAACCTTGATTACAGTTGAATTAGCTGAGATTATATGCTTTTAAAAATTGTGTTAATACAATGTCAAATCAACCAACTAATTCAATCAAATTAGGGAGAGGATAATCAGCTCAATGGCTGTGAACATCACCTACCACACTGTAGGTAGGTGAAGATGAATTAATAGAAGAAAAGCACTTGGCACAGTGCCTAGTGCACAATAAATAGTAATAAGGTTATGTGATATATATTTGCTGTTGTTATTGATGGTGTGAATCATTCAAACAAAAGACTTGAGTGTCCTTAACCTAATTTTAGCTCCCCATAAAAACACCTTCATTTGAATTTAAAAAATCATTTGGAACTATTTCATGTCCAAGATTGTTGAACTATGAAACCTATCGCTCCGAGGACAACTTTCTATTTTATAAGCCCTCCTGTTTCAATCCAATGGAAGTCCTTTTTTATTCTTCATTGGCGATTTTGGTTTCTTAGCTATTCCATGTTCTCACATAATAATGCCCTTCAGGAATTATTTGCTTTCTTTCTCCCACTGCCTCTTCAAGATTGGGCTATGCCAAGGAAAAACTAGCCTAGTACCCTAGGTGCTCTGTCCTTGGTTTATACAACCCACTGTGTGTGTGTGTGTGTGTGTGTGTGTGTGTGTGTGTAAATATCTGTGCCTGGGTAAATTTACTCTTTACCTCATCCATTTCTGCTCTAAGGGCCACAGAATCATTGAAAAAGTAATACAATGAGGTCAACTGGTCATACTAGAAGTCCATGTTATTGACTCTCTTAGTCCACAAACTGCTAACAATCTTTTTTCTTTTTACTATTATTGTTGACTCTATTACAGATGTTCCCCAACAGGCTTGGCTTTCCTCCACCCTGCCCCTACCTCTCCGAGGCCTTCACCACATTACTGTCTATACCCTTGGGGTATTCATATATGCATATGTATTCTTTGGTTGATCTCTTCCCATCTTCCCCACCCACCTCTCCTCTGACATCTGTCACTCTGTTCCATGATCCATGCCTCTGGTCCTATTTTGTTCAGCAGTTTATTTTGTTCTTTATATTCCACCTATATAGGAGATCATGTGATATTTGTCTTTCTCTGACTGATTTATTTCATTTAGCATAAAAATCTCCAGGTCTATTCATGATGTCATAAAGTGTTAAGAGTTCCTTCTTTTTTACAACCATGTAGTAACAATCCTTTTAAGCTAATTTGCTCATCTAATTCATTTTAACTGTAACTTTTCCAAAAGTTGGGACCCTTCTCTAGAAAATAGAGATTAAGTCAATGCATAAAATCTGAACTCCCTCACTCTCCACCCCTACCTCTCTCTTTCAATAGATAGATAGATATAGATGATAGTTAGATAGATGATAGTTAGATAGATGATAGATAGATGATAGATAGATGATAGATAGATAGATGATAGATAGATAGATAGATAGATAGATAGATAGATAGATAGATAGATGATAGATCTCTTGTGAACTTTTTCTTCCTCTGGTCTCAGAGGAAAGAATATATCCTTATATATCCTTCCTCTCTTGGGCTAGCATTTATTCTTGTCTGCACAACTGGCTCTTTTCTGACTACCATTCAGCTACTTGTTCATTGACTGCTACATTTATATTTTATGCCTTTGACTTCTAGATTGTCCCCTTGAGCATATAAAACTGTTCAATTAAGTTTTATCCTAAACCAAAATATACCTTCATGCCATCCTACCATTCATTCAAACTAGGAACATATATTTTCTATTCCCTTCACTGGTAACCTTACTGAAAAGATACTTTCTATGGACTTCTCCCTCAACTCCTCTTGACTTTCTAACTAGAATCTGGATCTTGCTTCCATCTCTACAATAACTTCTTTCTAAAAGGGCCATTTTGATTCTGAACTTCAACAGCCTTTCCTGAACTTCTTCCTTTGAAACCACTGAATGCAATTCATTAGCTTCCCTTCTTGAAATTCTTTTTACCTTGGTCTCCCACTGAATTGTTCTAGAGAGATTTTTTCTTCTACCAATTAGACTAGTCTTTTTACGATCCTCATTGGTGCCCCTGCCTCTTCCTTTCACTTGCTAGTTGTCAGATCTTAGTCAAGTTCTTAGTTGCAGATCTGCAATATGGGTACAATATAGAATTTATAACATTGTTTTCTAGAAATGAGCACTTAATAATTATCTTCTTTTGTCCCCAAATGCAGTCCTCCCAAGGGTCTCTTGGTAGCACTCACCTCTTTCTATACTTTTTACCTGGATAAGCTCATTTGTCATATATCTTTGTCACCTCTATGAGTGTGACTCAATCTGTTTCTTTTCTCGCATCTTCCCTCAAACTGTGTGCTTTTAAAACTATTCACTGATGTTTTCTTTAAAAAAAGATCCTCTGACTCTGCTCAGTGTGTTTAGCCCAGAGCGGAAGATGTGCTACCCCTTCCATATCTGCTTGTCTTTCAATGTCCTTGATTTCCTTCCAGGGCCTTCACATAAAATGATGACAATGCCTTTCAATACCTTTAATTGTTATGGCTCATGCAATCATTTCCCAAACACTTCCAATGTTTTCCCCAAAGCATTTTTGACTATTCTCTGTGTTCTCTGTTATTTCTGTGTTAATGGAATCCTCTTGCTTTTAGAGTCTGCTGCTTCCAAAATTTATTCCATAAACCATAGCCAGATTAATTTCTCTAAATCAAAACACCTTTAAAAATGTTAACCAGATGTTCAAAAACCTATTTTAAGGAATACATTCAAGTTTCTTATCCTCTTCACCAGGGGTCTAGAGTCACCCAGTGAGTTCCACCATTTCTTTTAACTGTCTCCCTGTATTTAAAGTGTTTGGCTTTTACTAGTAAATGTTTCACACTTTCTCACCTTGGTACATATGTTCAAATCCGTTTGTCTCTTGT